TTATGTTTATTGTAACTATGTTTACAGTAGCTATGTTTATGGTAGCTATGTTTATTGTAACTATGTTTACAGTAGCTATGTTTATTGTAACTATGTTTACAGTAACTATGTTTATTGTAACTATGTTTATTGTAGCTATGTTTACTGTATCTATGTTTACAGTAGTTATGTTTATTGTAACTATGTTTACAGTAGCTATGTGTATTGTAGCTATGTTTACTGTAGCTATGTTTATTGTAGCTATGTTTACAGTAGCTGTGTTTACAGCAGTTATGTTTATTTTAGCTATGTTTACAGTAGCTATGTTTATTGTAACTATGTTTACAGTAGCTATTTTTATTGTAGCTATGTTTATTGTATCTATGTTTATTGTAACTGTGTTTATGGTAGCTATGTTTACAGTAGTTATGTTTATTGTAACTATATTTACAGGAGCTATGTTTACTGTAACTATGTTTACAGTAGCTATGTTTATTGTAGCTATGTTTACAGTAATTATGTTTATTGTAACTATGTTTACAGGAGCTATGTTTATTGTAACTATGCTTACAGTCTACTGTAAACATAGTTACAATAAACATAGCTACAGTAAACATAGCTACCATAAACATAGCTCTATGTTTATTGTAGCTATGTTTATTGTAGCTATGTTTACAGTAGTTATGTTTATTGTAGCTATGTTTACTGTATCTATGTTTACAGTAGTTATGTTTATTGTAACTATGTTTACAGTAGCTATGTTTACGTAGCTATGTTTACAGTAGTATGTTTACAGTAGTTATGTTTATTGTAACTATGTTTACAGTAGCTATGTTTATTGTAACTATATTTACAGTAGCTATGTTTATTGTAACTATGTTTACAGTAGCTATGTTTATTGTAACTATGTTTACTGTAGCTATGTTTATTGTAACTATGTTTACTGTAGCTATGTTTATTGTAACTATGTTTACAGTAGCTATGTTTATTGTAACTATGTTTCAGTAGCTATGTTTACAGTAGCTATGTTTATTGTAACTATGTTTACACTAGCTATGCTTACTGTAGTTATGTTTATTGTAACTATGTTTACTTTTCCCGAGTCTACGCTCCTTCCTCAGTCATCAAGTTTTCAGTCTTTGTTTGGTGACATATACAAGTGTCTGGAGGCATATTAGTCCATTGTAAGGGTCTTTTGATAAATAACAAGATGACTGGAAGCTTGCCATATCCAATACGCATGTATCTTATCTATATAATAAGAAGTGTGTGTGTATCATGTAACTTCTTCCAAACCGCTGGTCACACCGAGTTCTAAGAGATGCCAAACGAATCGTCTCGAGCATTGCAAGGTACAAGTTTTGCCTCAAGGGATTGTGGGAAAACTTTTACCTTGCAATGCTCGAGACGATTCGTTTGGCATCTCTGCCCGGTATGTCCCCCGGCAAGAACATAATGGAGTTTTTATACAATCGACGTTGAGGTAATTTAATTAGTATAGTAAAATGTGTAGCCCCGGGCGAATATTATTGCCCACCCCTGTCTTAGGGGAACCCGGGTATTTCGCGAAAACACTTTTACGGGGATTCCCCGAAAACGGACCCCCAAAGTTGGCATTGATTTACATTAGAGCACGTAAGTAAGTAGGCCTACTAATTACCGTTCATAACTCGGTTAAAGAAATTAAACTTGCATTATAGCGGCCCTGTAAATGTGGGCTACAAAAATAAGGTCTTACCATATCCATAGCGAGGTGTCGCAGCTTCGGCTGTAGTTTTGTCCCGTTCTTCAACCACTGTATATGTGGTTCAGGGTCAGCTAAAATCCAGCATGTCAGTTTCACCCTGTAACCAGCAGGGATCAGTCTGTTTTCAAGGTGAGTTATTACGTGTGGTGGCGACACCTCTCTATTCTGTAGCCTACCAGAGCGACGTCTATCGCTCAAGTCGACACTGTGTTCATGAGAGGATGGTGTTTCATCACGAGTTTTAAATATTTCATTTTGGTTCCTGTACATTTGGGTCCTGTGAAGTCGTCTTAGTGGATGAAGTAAATCGTCATTAGTGACTTCACTGTTCTTTAAGTTATTCGTTTCATCTTGGACTTTCTTAAAGAAAGTGGAAGATATTTCGTCATCATCTTCCAGTTTGATTTCTAATTTTGCTTTATCTATCTTGTTATAACTTTCGATATCAAACTGTTCTTGTATGGAACGAATAAGTTCCATGTCACTTTCCAGTGAAACAAGCTCTTCTGTTAGAGTCTTTTCAAGATTTTCTATTTCATTGGCCTTAGTTTCAAATTCTTTTTCGATTTCTTCAGCAATTTTAGAAATTTCTGTTATAGAATCTTCCTCATTATTTTCATCTTTATCTGTGGACGAAGGTTTGCTATCAGAATCTTCTGAATCACTAAGATCTGAGTCAACATTACAACCTAAAGTTTTCTGAAAGTCAGATTGGATGTCCTTCTGAAGTGATTTACTGGTTTCTTGTTGTAAAATATGACCCAGGTTCACTACAGCTGGCGATCTTACTAAAGCTGGGGGGTTGTCTCCACAATTATCCAATTCAAAGTCTTTCTTCAAATGATTATCTACAGAAATAAGCTCGCCTTTCTTTCTTATATTCTGATCAGATGATTCGTTATAACTGGAATTGTTATCAGGTTCAATACAGTGAACTCTTTGACTAAGTTGAATATGTGGTATAATAAAGGAGTGGTGAATAATGGTTGGTGGTGTCGGTTCGATTAAGAAAGAAGATTCTGGACTTAATTCCACACAGTCCAAGCTCGTTGAAATAAATGTCTCTGCTAATGTAATAGAACTTTCCAATAAACATAAATAGGGCAGAACTCTACATGGTGCTTTCAAGCTCGAGCTTTTTATGACTGTCGGCACTTCCATCTGTTGTGGTGGAAGCTGTATGATGAGATAATCAAGACATGGCTCAACAGACGTACGTGCATTTCCAGAAAGTCGTTTTTTATCTGTACAATGTTTTCCGCTACTGAAGAATGAAGTTTGAAGTAGAAGAGGAGGTAAAATGTTAACACACAACACATGATTAGGTAATTCTAACACAGTGTTACAGACAAATGTTTGGTCAGAAAGCCATCCTACGGCTTCACAAAATTGGACGTCGTCCTGTGACACAGTGACTCTAAACAGCAGCTCTGCTAATGAAATACGACACCGATTTGTTTCAGCTTGTTGAGAATTAAAAGGTTTAGCGAGTTCCAATGTACCTGGGAAGTCTAACAATGACAACATAGCAGCACAGTGATGGATGTCTTCAACTACCCAACGTGCATAACAAATTTCGGGAGTTAATGGTTCTAAGCTTCTAATATCAGCTACAGTTTCTGCATTGATTCCAACATCAGGCATGTCACTCATTACGCCATGGTGAAGCATTTGGGCTTCCCAAACAAAGGGCTCATAAATGATGCATCTTAGTAAAGGCATCGCTGGAACCGTTGACACTGAAGGAAAAGAGCTGTGTTCACGTGCTTCTTCAGTGGGAGGGTCAGATATAATACTGGGACCCTCCGGAAGCTTGTCTTCACACGAACTGCTTCCTACCAGATGGGTCTTGTCCTCTTCAACTTCTGTCCTCTTCAAAGCACTTGAGTGCACTGTTTCATGACCTTCACTGGAACATACAATGTCCTCCAGAGTTTCAACAACTCCTTCAGAAGCAAGTTCCCATTCTTCATCTGAATCAGATGTAGTTAACAAGTCATATTCATTTTCTTTTTCTTCATCAGTTACTCTCTCTAACTCATCTCCATTTGTCTTACCAAATAGTTCATCTTCATTTGTCTTACCAATTAGTTCATCTTCATTTGTATTACCAAATAGTTTATCTTCATTTGTATTACCAATTGGTTCATCTTCATTTGTATTACCAAATAGTTCATCTTCATTTGTCTTACCAATTAGTTCATCTCCATTTGTCTTACCAAATAGTTCATCTTCATTTGTCTTACCAATTAGTTCATCTTCATTTGTATTACCAAATAATTCATCTCCACTTGTCTTACCAAATAGTTCATATTCATTTGTCTTGCCCAATAATTCATCTTCATTTGTCTTGCCCAATAATTCATCTTCAGTGTATTCTCTATAATTAAAAGTTTCTCCTACCGCTTTTTCTGAAACTGTATCCTGATTAAATGAATACATTTCTTTGTCTGTTTCTTCTTCTTGAAGTGTGTGGACGTTGTTGTTATATTTCCTAGCGCCACAGTATTCAGAGGTTATTTCAGGAATAAGTATCGGCTCTGTTTCTGCACATGGATCACTCGTTCCATAGATGTTAACCGCTCGAATACGAAACACATACACTGTTCCATCAACTAGGTCGTAAACTGTCACTTGGGACTTGTGGCTACTGGCAGCTCTTACCCACACTGACATTTCCAGCTGACAAAATAAAGAACCACACTTAAAAAATAAACATGGTGAATTACCACACTTAGTACTTGAACATGGCTACTTTGTTTAATGTTTTACCTATAATTAATATTACACAAAGCTATGTATATCATTTAAACAACCAACATTTTCAGAGATGAATGAATAAAGATCCACACTTAGGACTTGAATATCGCTTAACTGTATATTAAATTATTCTATATTATATAAAATTGTTAAATTATAATGTTTATTAAGTAAAACTATAAACGGAGTTCCAACAAAATGGATGGGAGTACCTAACCTTTCTAACTGCATGTTTTCCTTCTCTACGAAAGGAAGATGTAGCCACATTGTGCATCATTGAATTTATCTATCCAATAATGGTACATTCTTATTTGTACAGAGAAAGTATGCAAGCTAAAGATGGCTGTCAGTAGAAGCATGACACGTCAGTAGATGGCTAGTCAGTGCCATGAGTATGAAAAATAATAGAATGTATCCTGAGTAACAATGCGAAAAGTGATGGATATTAAAAATAAAACCACATCAGACAAACACAACAGTGGGATAAAATTAAGTTAATAGACGAGAACAATAACGAAAAGGAAAAATACAACATCAAAAGTGTGCACAGAACATAAGGTTAAACTATAGTAACCAAGAAATCGCGAGTAAAATGGAGCCAGTAACACAAACATTGAACCAAAGATCAGTGGAAGAATATGAACTATTTCACTTACACTGATTTTGTTTTTGTGAATGGGAGAGAGGAAAGCCCCAAGGAAGCTCACAAACTCATTCAGAAGCCATTCAGGCTTCTGCCATCAGTTAATCTTGGTAGATATTTTGTGATAGTAGAGATAGCTTTTTGTGTTATTAGTCCTGTGATGGCAGAGATAGCTTTTTGTTTTATTAGTGCTGTAATGGTACAGACAGCTTTTTGTTTCATTAATCCTGTAATAGTAGAGACAGATTTTTGTTTTATTAGTCCTGTAATAGTAGAGACAGATTTTTGTTTTATTAGTGCTGTAATGGTACAGACAGCTTTTTGTTTCATTAATCCTGTAATAGTAGAGACAGATTTTTGTTTTATTAGTCCTGTAATAGTAGAGACAGATTTTTGTTTTATTA